CGCTAACATTGATTCATATAGGATTCCGTGGAGCTCCTGGAGCACTGAGTACTGAGTATGAACTGAAAAAAAAAAAAAAAACTTGTGCGTATCTCTTCCTGGCGACATAGGCTCCCGCCTTCTCCAACAAAACTACGGTGCGACAGCGATGTGACAGGTGGATCTGCTGAGTATCGTCGCACATCCTCGGACGTCTCGGAGACCCGACTCTCTGGCAAGTTCCCTTTGGAGCCGGAAGCGAAGCCTGTATCGGTCGATGAGACGCGCTGCCGGTGGCTGCCGAGCAATCGAAGCTTCCTATGAAGCGCACGACGCGTCGTAGTCAGGCAGGGCCAGAAAATTTCCCCAGAAAATGGCCCAAATTGTTCAAAAAGGCCATTATTTGTCCCATCGCACTGGTTATAAAGTCGGGGAATCGTTGAAGGAGATCCGTTTTGCCTCTTTCTTCCCTACCCTCACATCCGTCCGCACCCATATCCGCTTATTTGCCCCTGCCTTTACGTTGATTACTAGAACTAGCTCTACTTTAACATTATCTTTATAACGTACCCTGTACGCAATTCCGGCTGTGGTACCAGCTCCAAGCTCTTTTCAACTACCGACATTATCGACGCTTTTTACTTATCTCTTCCCATTTTATATCAATACGGCCGCTTTCCATCATGTCCGGCTCCCCACATTCTTCTCTTTCCACGCCGATTCCACCAACGCGAGCATCTCCTTCTCCAGAATCGGTCGTCTCTTCATCTACAGGCTTTCTTAATCCCAACGCAGGCGATTTTGTACCATCTTCTCTACCAGATTCTCGATACAAGATTCATTCCGGTTCTCCATCTTCTGCATCTGTACATTCTTCGCCGGGCTCTTCCTCGACATCAACCTCAGTTTCGTTCACATTAGCTCCATCAATCTCAACATTTGCTTCGTTTTCCAGCAATCCTTCGCGATCAGAAATCACGCCCTCGACAACCCAATCGTCTTTTTCCTCGTACCACTCGCCATTGAGTAGCCCCAGCCAGATCACGCACCCATACAAGCACCGGGATGGATTGGAAGAAGCAGAAACTGGCTCTTCTGCTTCGGAGGACGCAGGAGCGCTTCTCCGTTCACTTCGTATTGGAAGCCCTTCAACCACCGCTCCCACCTCTGGCACGTGTCGTTTTATCCTTTTTTCACGTTTTACTGACGCGTTCTTGGTAGACCTTGAGCTAGGCGAGGTCACGGATGTGACGACGTCGCCCCACCGAAGCGATCATGCATCTTCATCCGCTCTTCCGTCGTATCCGGAAGTGGTGCCCAGTGCTCCATCGAAGAATGCAACCTACATTCCTTTGGCAGACATAGAAATTCATCAAGCGGCCCCATCTTCGTTTATGAACAGCACTACAGTCACAGGTGGCGGCTTGACGCCTGCCCCCTCAGACAAGAGTGATGGAGGCGATCTATATGAAGATCCCAACAAGACCCCGAACGTGTATATTAATGGACTGCCGCCCAATTATCCCGAGGACCAACTATTCGAGCTTTCTGCGCCTTTTGGTCCCGTCAGGAGTGTCAGAAGTTTCACGAGGCACGTAGGGGAGAAGGAGAGTGGATATGGATTTGTCTTGTACGCATATATGCTCCCCTTTCCGTACATTCTCTTAATTTTCTTTGCAGATTCGAGACGATTGAAGCCGCAGAAAAATGTATCCAGTCCTTGAGACGTTTCAGGAATCTGCATCCAACATTTTCGAAGGTCAGTGGTACCCTTTTCTTCGCCCATTCACCCATATTGAGCGATCTCCGTTCACAGCAAGTTCATAAGATTCCTGGAACGACTTACGCTCAGGCCCCGTCTATCTCCTCCAGTCATTCAACATCATCTGCTGATCACGGTGATGACTCGTTCAAAGCGAAAATGGAAAGACTTCACGATCCCAATAGCACAAACCTATACATTGAAGGGTAAGTTGCTTCACACCGTTCTGATAACGCATGACTTTACTTATGCAAACTACAGCTTACCACTGAGCATTGACGAATCCGTGAGTCCATCATACCTTCTAACATATATGCAACCTGACGTTGGCCGTCCTCTAGTCTCTAGGTGCCCTGGTATCTCCTCATAGAATCAAGAGCAGTAGATTCTTCCAAACAAGACTCAGTAATCCCCCGCGAATCATAGCCTTTGTGAGGTTGGTCTCAAACTTACTTCCGCGACGTTCATCTTAATAATGCGTCCGTTTAGACTGGATACCCGTGATGGTGCCGAAGAAGTCATTGAGCGTCTGCATGGACGTATGGTGAGAGGCTGGAACGACCCCGGTAGCCGAATTTCCGTTCGCTTTGCCGATACATCTGAGCAGCGCGAGTTACGTGTAAGGAGCTTTTTTTGAGGAGTCTGGCAGGGTCTGATCCGCATCATTTCAGCGTACTGAGCGCTCTGTGAAAGAAGACGATCAGTCGCCGTCGAGGCTAACCATCGCTCAAGCTGCCCTCCTGAACTTGCACGGACGAGAGCAGCTGCGATCTCAACAGACGCAGGTTCCTCTCACTATCGGTGGCAGTCACATTCGCCCTTCCCCCATTGGCATCGACTATGACCAGTCTACGTTTGTCAATCCTCCTTTCCCCGACTTCTCCTCGAATGCCGCCATATCATCCGGATTCGGCTTTCGAGGAAATGATTTGCCCATCATTTCCAATCCAGCCCTCGCGTCTTCAAGGCTTCCTATGGGTACTCGCGTTCTTCAACAGTCGCCGTATGACCAGCTTTCTTCTGCCACTCACAGTCAAGAACTCGCCACTTTAGTCAATACCCTTCGTAACAATGACAATTATAACGGTGCTGATGATCGGTTCACGGATGGCCTTGCCCACTATCGCGGTCTTCCTCAAATGGCAGGTCTCCGCAGCGCCCTTGATGACGTCGACATTAACTTGGGATACGATAACCATCACCCCGTTCTTGGTGGCAGTGTTGCTCAAGCAAGGAATGGGTTCACCTCAACGGAGGAGTACATCTTGCGGGCCCATGCCGCAGGAAGAAATCTAGCGAACCAGCGTCGTCGGCCAACGAGGTTGGATCTGTCTCAAGCTCAGGCGCAATGTCAAGGAGAGCCCACCGACTACAGCGTGGGTGTCAGGGGTGTTCGCACGCCAGCTTCCACCATCTCACTTCCTCAGTTACAGGCTCAACGGCAAGACGCGTACCACTCTCCCCGCATGATGAACGGCTCTCTTCCCGCCCTACAGGAAGAGTTCCAATCGTCGTCAGCGATACAACAAGGGCAGAACTTTCTTCGTGGGCAGTCTCGGAATGGCAACACTCACCAGTCCAACGTGAATGGTTCTCGTCTACCTGGTGACCGTGACGCTGACCAGATTCATTCCCATATCTCATCATACTCTCAGAACTCCTCTCACGTCTCTTCGCAAGCGCCAAATCGCAACCAGCATATTAATCAGCAGGCTCATGTTCGGTCCTCGACCCTTCCGCATTCTACTTCGACTTCTTCTGCAGAACAGCATCATTCTCGTCACTATCAGCACAGCAGCATGAGTATCCCAAAATCGAGGAATATATCCTCGGAAATTCTACGTGCGACTGCGCAGCGCGTCCAACAGCACAGATCGGCCAATTCTATCAGTAGCATCAGCAGCGAAAATAACATCCACCCAAACAGCAACCGCTTGTTCAACAACGACTCTTACAAGAGCGACTTGAAAAATAATACCGGCAACTCTGCTATGCTTCGCCATCATCGCAGTAATATCCAGGCGGGCGACGACTTCAAGAGCAACTACGACGGACATGTATACCCTCACAACGTGTTCCCGGACCCTGACCGCGACGTCTATGACGTCGAGCAGTCATCTCCGCCTCTTGTTTCGCCTGCCTTGACCTATTCTTCCCGCGGGTCCGGGGCTACTCTCAGCCCTACTACGCCTTTTGTTGGTTCGTTCTCGCAGCAGCAAGGCCTGTCCGCGGAGGGAACATAGTCCTGTCTTTCGCTACTTTATATATCGCTATCACTATCGCCTGCATCAAGTTGAGTTTTCCAGGACAATGTTTAGCCACTATACTGTGTATCAGTGTACGAATTACGTCTTTGTTAGTTAGTTATTCCGAACAGATTGTATTACCTGATACTAGAATGGTTTGTTTAAATACGTATTAGCTATCACAAGTTATTGAATGGCATTGGCTTGTTATGTATAGGTACAAGTCGCTTTAAAAGCTTTCACACTGTCCCCATCAGTAATTGATCGGGGAGTGAATATTTTTCGTGCATAACGCTTGCCTTCAAATTTTTATATGTCAAGTCTCGACGCTGCAAAATCTCCTCCAGATCTGTCAAAGAAGAAGGAATCGCTGCAAAGGCTCACAGACCAAATACGCGCTAAAGCCTGGGAAGTTCATCGATGGCCTTTAGTAAAGATGGTGACAAGCAAACGGACAAGGATACATTTGCCTGCGTCGTACATGGCTAAGAACGGAGAAACCACGCGGATCGTTTACCCAGGCTCGGACATCAATCAGCTGGTGCATATCCACTATTTGGAGCGCTGGGATGGCGGAGGGGTAGCTGCAAACTTTGTACATGCGGACGGGATCGATTCCAAAAGGTAAGTGTTCGCTGTGTAGGTCGTAAACGGGGCTGATTTATGCGTTTTAGAAATGAGTATCTAGGCCCAGATCCACGAGTTGCTGGATATTGGTTTGATGACGATAATGAGATCCATGTGAAATGGTGGGACGAATTCTTGAAAGATCAATGGATTGACAGCGAGAAATGGAGTGTCAAGGTGGTTTGGGACGGTGAAAAATGGATAGAAAAATAACGTTAAAATGATTTGCACGTTGTACTTCGCAGATAGAACATGCTTTTTGCTTCCAACTACCAATATGTTGCGAACATTAGACCAAATAGGCTCAGTGGTGAGGAAGTATTGGAGGCCCGGAGGCCCGGCACAGCACCTAGTAATCTTATTACTATTATTAGACAGAGCAAATGGGGCTTATAGCGCAGTGGTAGCGCGCACGCTTTGCATTATATAATCGTATGGCTGTGTGAGGTCCGGGGTTCAATCCCCCGTGAGTCCATTATTTTATTGTTATTTTTATCATCCGCTACACAGCACATACTACAGGCTGTATATCAAGAACACTTGAAACTGACAAGGGAGGATAAGGGGAACAAAGGATTGATAGAAAATGAACTTGAACGTTGATCGACGATCGTGAGATACCAATTCCGTCAGTTATGATTTGGCAGATTGCTTATCTGGGTATATATCTGTCCATCTGAACTCGGGAGTCTGTCAGTGACTGGCTAGTGGGTCAAGAGAGGGATCGAAAGTACGGCGAACGTATGTTACAACTACAAGAATTAATGCAACTGCCTCCCAGGAATCGACTGTGCAGGAGTCCCTTCGGACGAAGAACCGGACGTCGGGTCAAGTTCATACTCTGGTGGTGCTTGGTACGCAGTCTGTACACGGATCTGTTCCATTTCTCTGCGCAAATTCTCTACTTCATCGCGAAGTTGTGTCGCTGTGTCCGCCTCGGAAGATATTGCTGATCTACTGTTTGCACCCGAGGTCGACGCTGAATACACGTCTTGTCTTGGGGGCATGAGGCGCATGAGCTTGGAATCTGAAGACCATGCCGATACAAGGGGAGGTGTGAAGTGACTAGCCGGGCCATAGGGTATGATCTGAGAAGCCATTGGTGCGTACTGGTTCTCGGGCGACTGGTCCAGAGCTAATTCGGCAGCCTGGGGTTGCGCCATGTGGTATCCTCGCTGCTTTCGACGCCGCCAAAAGAAAATGCATACGACGACTACAGCGATAGTAACAACGCCTACAACAACGCCGCCTACAATGGCGCCAGTGGCGGTGGCGGTGGTGGACGATGACGATCCCTCTTTACCGCCTGACGAGCTAGCACCTTTGAGCGGATCGAGACTGCACAACGATGAGCACAAAATGATGAAGGTCGAGGTGAACGTACTTAAGAGCCAACAACGAGAATATCGCTCCTTGTGCAGGGCTATGATTGCACAACATAAGGGGCAATTCCTGCAGGTAACAAGCGACTGGCCACATACCTAGCCCGTCCTCCAACAGTGGTCCCATTCTGAGCATTATACGTGGTGGGGAAAACTCCGGCGCTGGCATTTGAGGAGCCTTTTTGATGGGCCGCCGATACCAGACCATCACGCACATCAGTGTTACGCGTTGCACCCGCGGTGAGCATCGTCCAATCTGTGGATACAGATAAATGATTACTAGTAAGTATACAGTCAGCAAGAAGACTAACGGGATTTGGCCACTTGGTCAACAGTACTGTCGTACTGTATACCAAAAATGCCGGCTACAAGAAATCAGATTCATGTGTGGACAGAACAGACGTGACGCATTACCATCGCTGATCTGACTGAGGTAGAATGTGTCTTGACTGCTGTAAGTCTGAGGAAAAAATCAGTATGCAGCAGTATCCTCAGGTTAGAATCTCACATCTTCTTCCACAAGACTAAGGTTGAGTAAACGGTCAGGGAACATATTATAGATGAGACTCCATGTCGATGCGTTGCCATACGTAGAGACGAGATGATTTCCTTCACTCGCCGAACTTTGCCAACTTGACATATAGGATTGTGCTAGGCTCTGAGGGGAAGTTCATAATCTTAGACAAACTTGCCGAGTGGATGTAAATATACCTCGTAGTCATCAGCGTCGCCACTCTGCCCTATGGCTCCAGCAATCTTCCCCGTGCACGCTATACCGATGATGCTCTTCAGTTCCAAGTTGACGTTATCCAGGCCATCGCTATCAACACTACAAGACTCTGAATGAAATCATCGAGAGGGTAAGAAGTATAACGACCCACAACCCAGCAGAAGCGGATGTTACATTCTTCAAGTATTCGGCCCACTGCCTGAACAATGTATACTGCGCATATCGGTGAGCATAGGATGCGAAGATTCGCCAACCAAGATGCTTACATATTGCCTTAAGAATGCCGAATCCGTCGAGTAGGTACCATACATCCAAGCCATGATTAGCATGTCAGCCGAAGCTAATGTAACCATAATGAGATGCACTGTTTGTATATTCAGATAGCTTACTGGATATGGACTCGTTCACCGGCGGAGAGGTATTTCCCGAGGCAATTGGATACTGTTCTCCTGCAAAAGAAACATGGGTGAGTACGTACTACGCGGAGCAAGAAATTTGGAGTGCGCAAACCCAAGTCTGGTGCTGCGTATAATACTTGACTCAATGTTGACTGCTGATAATCGAGGAGAGGTTCAAGCAAATATCCTGCCCATGACGCGTTGAAGTGGAGAAATGCTGGAATCGACGCATACATAACATCAACGGGATTGACTCGGCTAATTTGGTAAGTAAGAATGCAAGTAAGATAGATAGAGACCACTTACCGCGAGCTTCCTATATCTTTCATGAACATTTTGATGTCGGTACTGTTCCAAGAACCATCCGCTGCCTTTGATACTGTAATATCTGTGCTAGCTAATGTTTGACGTGCAGCTAGAGTTACTAGATCGCCATAATCTGAAGAGATGTTACGCGCTGCAGACAAAATGGATTCATCGAGGTTATCGGCCCTATTCTGCGCATCCTCGAAGTCTTGCAGAAAAGCATTGATCTGTTCGCTAAAATGAGCTAGAACAGAGATAGTAAAGCCAAATTATTTACCCCTTGGTCAATATTATCGTACTCCGTCCAGAAATACGAATACCGATCCTGTTGGCGGTACTTGATAGAAGGATTACGTACAAGCCCGAGTGCCCACATGAGTGTTGGTGATGTCGTGATGTTTCCTGCATCGAATGCGAAGGAGAACGTCGGCCAATTACTAGAACAGCTTGAGTACAAGACCAGAAAAAGGACAGTCCTCGTACTCGTTTATCGCACGATAGTTATTGTCCTGGGTGTTCGAAAGTGTTTTGTTATGGGTCCACATCGGACGCGTAACTGCAGCATCACCGGTGCGGAAGGTCACAGTGGAACTCTATATCAAGTCGTCAGACAGGCGCATGGAATTGCAAAAATGGGTACAAACCCAAGGCGTCGCGTAATACAGAGTAGCATCCAAAGCCATTTCGCCATCTTCATTCATAGATGATGGAGAGGAAAGGCTCGCCTCATGGTAGATGAATGACGGTTTTTGAGCGGTACTCCATCTAATGTTGTCAGTGATATCATTGGAAAGCCATTCTTACGTACATGAGTGAGAAACTCAACTCAGAATAGAATGAAGAGGCATACCTCCAGTGACATCGGTATAGAATTGAACATCGTGTTGTCGACCATCTCTTGATACGGCGTCGACGTATAGATAAGTAAAAGGAAACGACTGTCGAACAAGAGAGTCTGTCTAAAAGAGAAAAAAGGTGAACAACGCGTCTGAAACGGGAGACGAACATACTTCTATGGGACTGAGAAATGTTACGTTCACGTCCATTGGGCCAGCCTGGATCACTAAAATAGTCCGTGTCGGCGTCAACGCCACGTTGATCAGATTCGTTGCAGGACCTCCTCCACCCCCGAACAGTTGCAGATATTCACCATCCACCGATATCCAGAGATCCCAAGCCACAATCTACATAATGGATCAGAAAATACTTTTAAAAATAGGAGAATCCTTACATGGTCCTCTGTCCAGTGTTGAGGCCACTCATTGGCATGATTCGCTCCTGTTGTGAGGTTTAGATAGCTGTTGAGGTACGGAGACCGGACAGCGAGAGGAGCTCCTGCAGGCCAGAACGTGGATGGATACGATAGGGACCAGACCTGCGAGATGAAGATACCAAAAGAGAGAACAGACGGAAAGAGCATTGAAAAGTGTGTGCTGGGACGTTGAAGGAAAGATAATAACTGGGAAATCGGCAAGCAGACCGGTTGTTTCAACCCTGAGTAGCGTGTCCAGTTCTAAGTGATACGAATCTGCAGTCTCAGGAACAGTTTTGCCGTTTCATGCTGATTTTTTCTCAAAAGTGTGATGTGGTCGTGTTCATTGCACTTGATTTTAGATCCCGGGAAGCAAAAGCAATTCCGACCTGAAACTTGCATCAGGATATGAGTACAAAGAATATGCTACAGCAAAGCGCACCGCTCGTGAAACGTTCAGAACAAGACAGTCACCATAACGACGAAAGACTGAATGGGCCCTGAATCAAGGTGGTTTGATGAAGGAGCACATTACCTTTGCGACTCCTAGCGTGATGATTGCAGAGGTATGATGAGCGGATGTTGCACTCAAAAAATTGGCAGGAACGAAATTTTTGACCCTAAGATCCAGTAGCGGCAATTGCCGGTCCCCGATTCTTTCCTTTTGTACGAAGAAAGTGGGCTGTATCTGAACTGTATTTGTTTTGTTGACTCGGTGGCTTTGGGTAACTGCTCGTTCAAGAAGAATTAAATAAGACACACCTTGATCAGATGTGGAAAAGTACTTAGTGGTGCCAAAAGATCGCATTTTGCACAATCTAAATCTCAGAGTGATATGTGCTCTTCATTTGAACTGCTTGCCCATGCATATACGCATTAGGCCTCGAACAAGGAAATATTACCTACTACGTACCGTGAGCTCGTGGTTACTTGCAGATCTTCCTGACTTTGAAAAATGAAATACTTGAGTCAGCATGTCTCTTGCCTCCGAATTTGCTACCAGTGTGTCGAAACTTATGCGAAGCTTTTGAAGTTGCTCTCAGTAGCAGAAAACACGGCCAGAGACGCACAAATCCTCTTCCCTCGAGATCATTCATGAAATTCTTGAGGAACTAATAAAGAAATAAAGAAGGGACACCCAAGCACCGATCTCATGTTCACATGTTAATGGATCCTTCTTGCCTCCAGTTTTCTATTGCCTTTCTCAAGGAGGTGGAATTGAAGAGCGTGTCTGGCTGCGACCATTTTTGGGAATTGTTGTTCGAATCTTCCCCTTTGTCAGAAACCTCAGTGTCTTTTTCCGTGGCTCGCTCATTTGCCCGTAGTCAACAACGGTATTTTACGTCCTCCTGTCGCCATCTTCTCTGATTACCATAGGTTTGGATGACACTCGCGTTACTGGATATA